GGCACAGGCCTTCCCTATCTTAACATTGCTTTATTGCAAAATAAGCAGATAGCCCACCTAAAAAAGTAAAATAATAAACTGAGTCATGAGAATTTATAACATTAAACCACAACTGTACTGGTACACATTTCTATTTGGCCAGCTAGAAGTATAATAAGTTATAATAACAAGATTTATTAAAGAATAAGATCTTTGTGTAAGGAAAGAGGAGGTGCATCAAGAAAAATTATTATGAGGATTATAAGTAAGAAGATGTCTGCTTACATTTTAATGAAGGAGAGTACATCATCACATCTGATAAAATATACTGACCACTACCATCATTTTGGCAGAATCCAGGTTCTGGGACAGTTGACCCACAGTCCATCACTCTCCCTCTGAGTGCACCCGCTCCTCTGTGAGTGCCTAGGTAATTGCCACTGAGAACACCAGGCCCTTCCCCAGCACTAACTCAGAAGCAGAAGAAAGATCTCTCTGACATCACTCATTACATCGTTGCTCCGGGCAAGATCATCCTGGCTGCATGTGAGTCCACCTGAAGCATTGCCAAGTGCCTGACGTTCATTAGAACTGAGAACACTGAGAACTGGCACTTCTGCCACCAGCTCCTGCTGACCACTGATGACTGGGTGACCCCCTGCATCGATGGTGTCATCTTCTTCCACAAGACCCTCTACCTGAAGGCAGATGATGGCATCCCTTTGCCTAAGTCATCACATCTAAGGGTACTGGTATGGGCATCAAGGTAGACAGAAGCTTGCTAACTCTGGCAGGAACTAATAATGAGACCATTACCTAAGGGTTGTCTGAGTGCTACACCCAGTACAAAAAGGATGGAGCTGACTTTGCCAAGTGGTGCTGTATGCTAAAGATTGGTGAATACACCTCCTCAGCCCTTGCCATCATGGAAGATGCCAAAGTGCTGGCCTGTTATGCCAGCAGAACGGGATTGTGCCCATTGTGGAGCCTAAGATCCTCCCTGACAGGGACCATGACCTGAAGCGCTGTCAGTACGTAACTAAGAAGGTGCTGGCTGCCATCTACAAGGCTCTGAGTGACTGACCACCACATCTATCTGCAAGGCACATTGCTGAAGCCCAATATGGTAACCCCTGGCCACACCTGCACACAGATGTTTTCTCATGAGGAGATTGCCATGGCAAGTGTTAAAGCATTGCTCTGCACAGTGTCCCCAGCTGTTACTGGGATCTCCTTCCTGTCTAGAGGCCAGAGTGAGGAGGAGGCACCTATCAACGTGCATGCCATAAACAAGTGTCCCCTGCTGAAGCCACGGGCTCTGACCTTTCCTTATTGGCTGGGCCCTGCAGTCCTCTGTGCTGGAGGCCTAGGGTGAGAAGGAGAAGAACCTGAAGGCTGCCCAGGATATCAAGCAAGCCTTGGCCAACAGCCTGACTTACCAAGGAAAGTACACCCCAAGCAGTCAGACGGGACCGCAGCCCACAAGTCCCTCTTTGTCTCTCACCATGCCTACTAAGTGGAGGTGTTCTAAGGCTGCCACCTCAGCATTCAAGACCCCAGTGCCCTCCTAGACTTAACACATGAGGAAAGGGCCTCATATAGGGCTCCAGGCTGCTCTTTCCTATCACTCTTGCTGCCCTTGTGGTATTGATGTGTGGTGGTGTCTCTACACCTAACTCCATCACCTTTTCCAACCCACTGCCAATAAACAACTATTTAAGGAAGGGGGACAAATGTGTTCATTGTTACTGCAACATAAGGTTCAGACTTTCTGTTACTGTCCCACTAAATTTCTTTAGGTGGAGCTCAAGCAACATTTATTGTAACAACTGAGTACTTTGCTATTTAATGTGAAACATGCATAAACAATCAGGGGAAAAAACCTTGTATGGCAAAAATGAGTTATTAAACTCTTTAAAGTCTACTGAATTACCTACTGTGATTTCTAAGACAAATGAGGAACCATTACCTTGGGAATTAGCAATGGAAAAATCATAACATTTGTAAATTAGAAATGTCTTGATACTAATTTCTGTCAAAATAATGATTTTAGTTGGAAGAAATTCCAAACATTTATATCACTCAAGCTTAATAATAATAAAAAATAACAAAAAGGACAGTGAAAACAGTTATTATATAGCACAACAACTTGGCTTGATTTTCTTTGGATAAAATCTTCAGTTGCTCCATAGTTTTACCTTCAAAATCAGTTGTAGAATTAAACTGAATTCATTTCTGCAGTAATTTATTTATTTATATTTACTTGATCGCCTATTAGAATGGGAAGAAATTTTATAGCAGTTATTTTTTCTCAATGAGTTGTTTTCTTCATAGGCACTGTACCTACTATTGTTGTTGTTATTAAGTGCTGTCGAGTTGTAGGTGACTCATAGCAACCCTATGAGCAAAAGTCCTGGACACTTGCGTGTGTGACTTTCATTCTTTCTCCAGGTTCATAGGGATTCCGGATTTATGGAAGTGGATGCCACTCCTGCTTCCACGCTTGTTTTAATCAGGGAGCTCCACCCAACACCGTCCACCATGGGTAACCATTATCACATTTGACACATCAGTGTCATAGGGTTCAGCTTCACAGCAACCACAAGTTACCTCTGTACGGCAAGTGGACACACTAGGGCTATACGACCAAGAAGACTGTTTGAACAAAAACAATGAAAAACAGGCCTGAGGGCCACGAATTAGTCATCCACCTTTGGCTTTGTAGCATCACTTTAGGTCCACTATGCCAACTGATAGGTCACTCTATGCTGTTAAGTGCCATTGAGTCGTAGGTGACTCATAGTGACCCTATGAGTGAAAGTCCTCGACACTTGTGTGACTTTCATCCTTTTTCTAGGTTCATAGGGTTTCCGGAGGCAAGCTATTGGTAGCATCACTTTCTGTCCACTAGGCCAACTGGTCTCTCTCTATGCTGCTAAGTGCTGTCGAGTTGTAGGCAACTAATAGCAACCCTATGAACGAAAGTCCTTGACACTTGCCTTAGCATAACTATAATTTTTATAATTTCCAGGAGGTACTTTTTCACTTCATGGGGCAGCTGAAAATTTTATCCAGTGTACACCAAACCAGTTTGTGGTGCTATATGATACTGTTTTCACTGTGTCTCTTTTTGTCATTGATCTCTCTAAATTACTGAGGAGCAATGATATTAGTTTGAGGACTAACATGCTCTTGATTCAGCCTTAGTCTTTTCACTTAATTACTGTGCATCTGAGAAATAGAAAATGAGTAAGGATGATGAAAGAAAAATTGCATTTGTGTTGTGGAATTGTAAGAGAGTACATCCTTGGAATTGAGCATGGTGAAGCTTCATCTTGCATACTTTGGGCATGTTGCTAGGAGAGGCAATTCCTCGGAAGTGGATGTCATGCTCAGAGGGATGACAGAGGAAAACCTTCAACCAGGTGAATTGACATGGTGACTGCAGCAATGGGCTCAAGGGTGTTAGTGATTGTGAGGTTGGCACAAGTTTTGACCGGCTTTAGCTCTGTTGTTTATAGGATCACTCTGCATTATACGTGATAGCAACTAATAGTAACAACTCCTTTACCTGTGGGAGAAAGATGGGCAGTCTCTTCCTGTGTAATATACTGCCACTGAAAACCCATTGGAGGTTAGCAATAAGTCTGTTTGACTTGATAGCATTAAGAGAGACTCTGCCCAGGCCTTTGTGCCTCTTCCTGCCAGAAGAAGGAGGGAAAGAGGTAGGAAAGAAGAGGTCTGGGAATCAGCCAGCCTGTATCCTCAGGGTCCCATTATACTAACTCTTAAAGCGCCAGGACATCAGTATTGTATTTTCAGTTGTTTCATATATATCGTAAAGTTGAACAATGAGTAAAATCGAAGAATACCTTTGAATTGTGGTGTTGGAGAAAAATATTGAATATGCTATGGACTGACAAAGGAAGAAACTAATCTGTCTTGGAGGAAAGGAAGAATGCTCCTTAGAAGCAGTAATGGTGAGATTTTGGCATATTATCAGGTGTAGCCAGTCCTTAGAAGATGACATCATCCTTGGGAAAATAGATGGTCAGCCCAAGAGAGGAGAACCCTCCAATGACTGACACAGTGACTGAAACAACAGCAGATACTGTGAAAATGGTGTAGGATTAGGCAAAATTCCTTTATAATTTTCTTTGGCTTTGATGTAAACTTGCATGTCAATAATTAATGATCTACATTGAGTCCCAGACCTTATTTTGACTAATGATACTGAGCTCTTTCACCATCCCCTTCCACAGATGTAATATTGTTGTTGTTATGTGCCATCGAGTTGCCTGCAACTCATAGCGACCCTATGTACAGCAGCCCTAAAATCTGTCCTATCCTGTGCCAATCTCACCATCTCTGACACACCTACCCCCAGTACCCCAGTCACTGAATCAATCCATCTCATCGACAGTCTTCCTCTCCTGCACAGTCCCTCCACCCTCCCAAGCATGACATCCCTCTCCAAGGACTGGTCTTTCTCCTATCATTGACAACATTTTACTTTAAGATAGTTATTGAAATGGTCTTTCAAATAATCATTGAATGATGAATATGATACTATTCCTCTTTAATTTTTCATTCCTGCAATAGTAGATTATACTGTTTTGAATTTATCACTCATTAGTTGATGAATATTTGCCTTGTATTTTCATCACTGTTTTCGTAGTTTTCAGAAAAAGTCCACACAGAATTTAAGGAACTCATAATTCTGGAGACATGGATTTTTTCATGATCTTGTTTCTGGTTGAATGCTTTTAGGTCTATGATTAAGTATACTGTTTTGTAAGCTCTGTAAGTTTAGGGAATTTTTCTATTGTGTTGAATGATCTACCTTAAGTACACAGACAAGTTCCTGGCTTATAGAAGGCAACCAATATTTTTTTGTGTAAATGAATAAGATAATCACATTCATCATCTATGTGGGGATATGTGCTATAATTTTAAAGGACAGTTGGACAATTTCTGCATACTTCTTTGCAAGTGTTGAATAAAGATCTTTGTGTTTGCAGATGGAGTGGTTCAATAATTATAAAAAGTCTCTTGCTACTTATATGAGATCGTTGGGAGGAGATGAAGGTTTGGACATCACACAGGATATGAAACCTCCCAAAAGCCTGTATATTGAAGTAAGTTTTAGATATTAAAAATGGAATGGGTTTTTATTCAGTGTGTGGATTATGCTAATTTTATTTAAGAAAGAAGTATATGAATATACTCAAACTTACTGTCATTGAGTGGGAACTGACTGATAGCTGACCCTCTGGCAAGTTTCTAAGGCAGTAAATTACTTGGGAGGACAATGTCCATCTTTCTCAGAGCAGCTGATGACTTCCAGAGAGGTGGTTGTTTAGCAATGCAACTAATGACTAATGATACACTTCACCACCAGAGCTCCATTATGAGTATATATATATATATATATATATATGAGCTTATTGTGTCTCAAAGTTAAGGAAATAAAAATTCTTACCACTGGACCAATAAGCAGTAATCGTGATGGATGGAGAATAGATTGAAGCTGTCAATGATTTCATCTTATTTGGATCTACAGTCAATGCCCTTGGTACCAATAGGAAATTAGGAGATTTATTGCACTGACAAAGTCTGAAGTCAAGGACCTCCAAATTATTGAGGAATAATGATGTCAGTTTAAGAACTAAGCCACATGTGATTCAGGCATGATCTACTCAATTACCTGCTGTGCATCAGAGAGCTGGACAGTGAATAAGGATGAAGAAGAATTGATGCCTTTGAGCTGTGGTGTTGAGGTACTGAATATTCATTCCATGGACTGCCAAAAGAACAAACATATGTTTTTGAGAAAGTGCAACCAGAGTGTTCCTTGAAAGCAAAGATGATAAAGCTTCATCTCACATATATTGGGCATGTTGCTAGGAGAGGCTATTCCTTGGAGAGGGATAGCATGGTTGGAAAAGTGGAGGGCCAGTGAAAAAGAGGAAGACCTTCAACCAGGTAGATTGACATGGTGACTGCCACAATGGGCTCTAATGCGTCAGAAAGTGTGAGGATGGCACAGGATAGGACAGGATTCAGATCTGCTGTCCATAAGGTTGCTATGGATTGTACACAATATCACCTAACAACAATTTTAAATGAAGGAAGCTCTGATAGCTTTGTCTATAGAGACTTGCACTAACTCAAAGGATGATTATGCCCAGTGGTTTGATTCTACCAGCAGCTCTGCTGTAGAAACATGGACAGTCCTCTCCTGTTGAAATTTATAATCCCAGAAACCTGATGGAGGCTGTGAGTTTGGACCTACTCAACAGGAATGAGTTTGATATTAAAAAAAGACACTGTTCATTAAAATAGACAAAAGATGGGAGCACTTTAAATATATATCAGCAGATGAAAGGATAAGCAAATATACACACAGAGAGAGAATAATATTCATCCTTAAAGAGAGATTGACAGCCTCTGAAAACCCACTAGAGGGTCAGCTATGGTTAGGTTCTAACTTGATGGTACTCAGCAACAACAACAACAACAATAAAGAGAGATGAAGGCCTGCTCCAGTATTTTTGACTCTTGAAAACATGCTGAGTAAAAGAAATCATTCATTATTGTTGTTTTGTGCCATCGAGTTGAGTACTGCGTCATCCTTATCTGTGACATACTTGAACATGTTATTGCAATTACTGTGTCAGTCCATCTCACTAAGGGTCATTCTCTTTCTAGCCGACCCTCTACCTTTCCAAAAATGATGTCCCTTTTTAAGGAATAGCTCCTTTTAACAAACATGCCCACAGTATGTGAGACAAAGCTTTGCCATGTTTGCCTTTAGGAAGCACCCAGGCTGCTACACCTTCTCCAAGACATATCTATTTGTTCTTTTGTCGATCCATGGGATGTTCAGTGCTTTTCTCCAACACCACAACTCAGAGACATGAAATCATCTTTTATCATCCTTATTCCTTGTCCACCTCTCAGATGCATAGCAAGTGATTGAAAAAACCATGGCCTTAAAAGGAAATTGACTGTGGCGAGCTCTGGTGGCCTAGTGGCAAGATGCTGCACTGCAATCTCAGAGGTACATGGTTTGAATCCATCAGATGCTCTGCTGAAGAAGGAGGAACAATCTCCACCTGTATCAGTCAGATCTGATTTGATGGTACACACAAAAAAAGTAATGAAATAAAATAAAAATTTAAAAAAAAATAATTTTTTTAAAAAAGGAAATTGACTAAGTTTTTAGTGGTTGTTAGGGGCTGGAGCTCTGGTACCTTAGTCATGAGGAGTTTTACTGCTTAACCCCAAGGCCACTTCTCTTATGGCTTGAATTCACCAGCCGCTCTGAGGGAGAAAGATGGACAATCTCCTTCAGTGTAATTTATAGCCTTAAAAACTCAATGAAGAATTAGCTATGACTTGGTTACAATGCAGCAATAATAAGTTGAGGGTTTTTATTAGGGGGGGATAAAGAGTTCAAGGAGACGTTTTTCTTTTTAAGGCACTTAGTTTCTGAACATAGGAGTCTTGATTGTATAGTGAGTTAAATGTTTGACTGCTATCTGAAAGGTCAGCAATACAAACTCACTAGTAACTCCAGGGGAGAAATGTGAGACAGTCTGCTGTTTTTAAGATTTACAACTTCAACAACTCTGTAGGGCAGATCTGCTTTGCCCAGTAGGGTCATAAAAGTCAACAGCAACTCCATGGCAGAGATTTTAGTTTAGTTTCTGAACATGGTGGTGGAGTAGTTTGGTAGTGGAAACCTGTAAACACTTGGGGGTTTTCCCCTTTAAAATTTTTTTGCAGTGATATAAACTTCAGAAATAGAACAATGAAAAGAGCTCTGATGGTATTATTTGTAAGGAGTTTCACTGCTGACCCAAAGGTGGTACACCTCTGGTGGTTTGAATCCAGCAGCAGCTACATGGGAGGATAGACAGTTTTCTCCCTTGGGATTTACAGCTTCTGAAAACTGGTGGGAGGGTCAGCTCTGAATTGCTTCTTATTCAACAACCAGTCAGTTTTAAAATTTCAGTGTAATAAAATGTCTATAAAATGAAACATTGCTTATTTAACTATTTGAAAATGTATAATTTAGTGACATTGATTATTGTGAACTCTGATGACATAGTCTATAGAAAATTAAAGGGTGCTGCTAACCCAAAGGTGATGCTTCTCTGGTGAGTTAAATCTACCAGCAGCTCTCTGGGAGAAAGCTGCCTGTAGGGGTAAATGACCTAGTTTAACCATATTTAAGGTGACCTTTGTTCTTGGCTCAGAGGAGTAACTGTTGGAGTGTCTTGGTCAGGGACTTCCAGGTCACACCTGAGAATTTGTGTTGCCAAATGGGGGCTGACTAGATCACACCAAGACTTACCTGAGAAACTAATAGCCTCATCTAGCCTTATAAAGAATGATTTTACCTATTGTGTAGACTTGGCCAATAAAAAAAGATCCTAAATATAGGGCTCAGATAGCTTCTTAATTGACAAGAACATTTGCTTTCAAGAGGGTAACACATCTCCGAAACCTTGCCCTCTGTACCTCTTGATCCTTTCTGGCCATAATAAATAAATCTTCTGCCATAAGTGTGGAGTAATATCTAGAGATTCTGTGACTCAGTCCAGCAAATCATCATACCCAAAGGGTTAGTGAGAGCCAGCAGGTCAGACAGTAAGGGTGTTTTAGTGGACTCCCCATTTTGCAATTGGCTTTCTAAAAGGTTCGATGGAAATGGATTAGAATGATTAGAATGGATTCCTCAAACTTACAGCCATTGCCTCTTCACTTGGTTGTGTGAAAGATTCTATCCTTTTAACTTATGAGCGCTGGTATATCTCAGGAATAGCTGATTATGGGGCTGGAGAAATGGTAATGTAAGGACATGGTAATTTTGTGAATAGAGTTTCTGCTAATCCTTACCATATAATATCTGAACTTAGATTTTTTTTGTTTCAATAATATTTCATTATATGGATATACTGCATTTTCTTTATTCATTTATGTGCAAAAATATTTGTGTTAACTTTTAATAAACTTTTTAAAAAAAAGCTTATTATAACTTTTGGCTGGTTGTAATGAACTTTGTTGTACAAGTTAACCTATTTTAGTGCGTGCTTTCAGTTCTTTTGAGTGTATGGGTAGTTCAATTGGTGGGCCATATGTTGTGGTGCTAAAGAAGAGTATTGAATATATCATGGAAATCTGAGAGAACAAACAAGTCTTGGAGATGGTAAAACCAGGTTGTTTCTTGGAGTCAAGGATTGTGACGCTCTGTCTCACGTACTTTGGACATGGTACCAGGGGGGACTGTCCTTGAAGAAAGACATCATGCTTGGAAGGGTGGAGGGTCAGTGCAGGAGAGGAAGACCTCATTGACACAGTGACTAAGGGGTTAGGTGTGTCAGAGATGGTGAGATTGGCTTAACATAGGGCACTAGTCCGAGCTATTGTTCATAGGGTAGGTATAATAACAACAGTATCTGATGAATCCGTATCTTCTAGTTAGTCGGCCAACTTAAGAGATTGGCCTATTTCCTGGAAGGGATCTATGTCTGTTCCCATTCCCAAGTAAGGTGATCCAGCAGAATGTGGAATTTTTTGAACATTATCATCAATATCACATACAAGCAGATCATTAAAAAATGGTAGAACAGTATGTAGACAGAGAACTACCAGAAGTTCAGGCATGATTTAGAAGGCATGGCACCAGAAATATTGCTGATGTCAGATGGATGCTGGCTGAATGCAAAGAATACCAGAAGATTGACTATTTGTGTTTATTGACTGTGCAATTGACTGTTTTGACCCATTGAGCAGAATGGGAATCCCAGGACACTTAATTGTACTCATGTGAAATCATACCTAGAACAAGAGGCTGTTGTGGGAACAGGGCAAGGGAACACTACATGGTTTAAAATTAAGAAAGATGTGTGTTAAGGTTGTGTTCTCTCTTTATATCTATTCCATCTGTATGGTGAGCACATTATTCAAGAAGCTGAACTCTATGAAGAAGAATGTGACATCATGATTGGAGGAGGAATCATCAATAATCCACATTATGCAAAATGAACAACTTTGCTTGCTAAAAGAGAAGAAGACTTGAATATTTGCTACTGAAGATCAAAGATTATAGCCTCCAATATGTATTGCA